TGCTGTTCCCCTGCAGAGGAGATGGGTCTGGGTTTGAGGCATTGATTCCTCCTGTCCTCCCACCGCCAGCTCAGCTATGGATGCTGCCCCTTCAGCCCTCACTGGGCAGGCTTGGAAACTCTGGGTTGTTGTTGAGTTGTGTTTTTTTCCCATTTAATGCATAGAATAACACTGATGGGTCTGAACAGCTCCAGCCAGGCGACGAGGGGAAAGAATAACAAGCTCCTGAATGTCAGGCAAAATTATGGGCCATTGCTATTTAGGGTGAGTCTGGTGGATTTAGGGCCTCTCTGTTCTATTGTCCCAGCTGCTCTGAGCATTGGAGCAGGCGAGACACAAGTCGGGAATTTTATTGCAGAGCATGTGCAGGGCAAGGCTGGTTCTGAGCGTTTCCGGAGTGGGGCAGTGGTGGGGGAGAGGGGACAGTGTCTGGTGGGAAGTTGGTGAGATGTGATACTGAGGGGAGGTGGGAGGCTGGAAGTCCTGGGGAGGTGGTCATCCAGCAGAGAAGAGAGCTCCTTTGCTTCCTGTGTTTTGTCAGGGTTCAGCTTCTGGCATTGCTCACACTCCCCAATTCCGTGTGGGGTTGGTCTCCACCCGTCAGACCTGGGCTGACTGTCCGTCTGCCCTGTCCCTTGGCAGACTGTGCTGGTCCCCCCTGCATCTCACGAGCTGCCCAGCCCCTTGTCTTCTCCTGTGAAGCACTCAGGGTTGTAGTTTGTATGAAAGACAGAGCCTAAATGTGTGTGTGGAATGGGGATTAGGGGTGTCGGTGCCGTCGCTTGGCTGGCTTTTGGCTGGCGCTGGTGATGTAACCAGGGCTGGCACTGTGTGTGCACGGCCTGCCAGGTGTCAGGGGGAAGGGCCCGGCTGAACAGCCCAGGAGAGCACAGAGAGGGTGAAGAAGATGTTACACAGTGAGATAGGAGCGGGTCATCCATGGGAAAGTGAAGTGTGCACGCGTCCTGAACAGGGTGTATCCTGAGCTTCCAGATTTTGGCAAATACATTCTGTCCCATGCCAGGGTGGGGAGGAGTGGCAGAGAGCAAGAAAACCATTCTTCCTGTCTGTCTGCACAGGCGGGAGGCTCGGCAGGGTGAATTCTTTTCTTCTTTGGGGCTCTTTTTATTTGACCGGATTAAAAAGCCTATTTGAGTTTCTTAAACCATTTAATCTAAAATCCCCAGGTAGATGCGCCATTGGATTCAGTTTTAAGCTTATAAACAAAATAGGTCTGTGTTTGTCTCTTCTTTATTTTGTTCTGAAGAAGCAAGGGTTTGACCTGCCCTCCCTGGAGCCGAGGGGAGTGTTGGGCTGCTGGTGCTTAGGAATCCCCTTGAGCTTCCCGCAGGGTGGGAAGGTGTGGGGCCTGGGGTGCTGGTGTGACCCTCCTGCAGCTCCAGGTCAGGGGGGTGTGTGTGGCCTGGGCAGGTGATGGGAGGAGGGAGCAGGGGCCAAGCTCCCCTGGCTGGTTCCCAGGACTCAGTACCCACACGGAGTGCTGAGCATGGGTAAAATCCCATTAGGACCATTGCTCTGCAGTTAGTGTGGAGAGATGGGAAAGGAGAAGACAACAGGAAATGGGAGAAAATGGGAGGAAAGCATGGAATGGTTTGGGTAATTCTTTCCAGTTCCCACTATCCTTTGAGAGGAGCTAGTTTTCCTTCTCTGCTCCCAACATACCCAGTTCCTTCCAGGGTTTCCTCCTGTGTCCATCCTCTCCACCCACTCCTTGTTCTTCTCCTCTACGGTGCTGTGTGGCTTATTGCTGCCACTCCCTGTGCTACAGAGGAGATTTCATGGGCATGAGACCAGTTGGGATTGCTCTCAGAGCAGCCCAAAATGGGACAGTTCAGGATTTGTGTTTGCAGGAGAGAGGTGATAGTGGTGCCCATGGGGGCTGCAGGAATGTCGCAGTGGCCCACAGTGCCATGTCTCTGCCAGCAGCTGGTGCCAGATGCTCCCAAGGAAGGTACCAAACCCACAGCAGGCAGATGTAAGATGATCTGCCCCTGTGTCCCCTTGATGTCCTTTCCATGCGTCCACAGGGATCATCTCGAGTCAGTGGTGCCCGTGTGGGATGACAGTGCTCAGACCAACCTTAGCAGAAGTGTCCCTTCCAGATCCTGTCCCCAGTGCTGGGAGCACAGCAGTAAGGCCAGGCCACCCAGCTCCCTCCTGCAGCCATGGAAAAGCTCCTTCCAGCCCGGCTGTAGGAAGGCCGGGAGGGCAGGCTGAGCTCACCTCTCGTGAGCAGAGAGGCCTCCTGTGCCCAGAGCTCTCAAGGAGATGCTTTATGAAAGGGGTGGTGGGAACAAGACTGTCTCCTCCCCCCCTTCCTTCTCCTGAGGAACTGGAGACAGACAGAGGGACAGGCATCTGTCCGATGGCAGCTTGGATAGGAGGGAGCCCTGTTGGCTTTGCCGAGGGAGCCTCTTTCTATATGGAAATGAAGAATTTAGGCTAATGGAGCTCAACCATCTCTAATTTTGCGATGGCAGGAGGATTTTGATTGAAAGTAATTAAGCAAGCTAGCTGTAAAATTAATTAAAGCAAAAGGGGGGGATTTTTTTATTGGATTGGATAGCGATATAGCGGCTGTCAAATGGGGGACGGATGGGGGTGACCTGAATTCTCTGCCCTCCCTCCTCCCACTCGGGACGTTTATGTCACTTTAATCTCCTTACAGCGGCTGGTGTGCATTTGTTTGAAATAATCAAGGAAATATGGTCAGAAATTGTCAGCTTTCAGATCTAATTTACCTGACAGCCCTGCGCGGACCAGTAAGCCTCTGTGTGCGTGTGCGAGAGCGTGTGTGTGCGGTGCATGCGACTGTGTGGTCATGGAGGGCTCCTTGTCTCCCTTCTCCCCTGTTTCTGTTCATTCTGTCTTCTCTTGATTCCTACCAAAAATACTTCTGGCACAGCTGGGACCACCCAGCACCTTGCAAGAAAGAGAAATAAGTTTGACGATTTTCCTGCGGTCGCTTCTCCACCCCCACCTTCCCATCGCTGCCTCCTCCCAACCTGCTGCCTCATCCTTGCACCATAACCAGCTTTAGGGTTTAGGCAATATAGGATTAGGGGAGGTGGCTGTAATTCTTTATTCCAGATGGCTGGCAACTGCTAAACCCACTGTCACAAGCACCGAGTTATAAAAATACTTAAATTAGGCCCTTTGTTTCAGCCCCTGTCCCTGCCAGGCAGCTCTCCTGGTGTCCTGCCGGGAGCTCAGCTTGCACAGAACAGGTGGGGGACTCTGAGTCCAGACTGTAATGATGCTGGGGAGAGGCTTCTCCGGACTCACACCTATCTGGATTCCCTTGCTCAGCTCCATCTGCTTCTTTTTGCCTTTGGCTCTTAAAGAGAGATCCTGCAGTAGGAATGAGCTGGGCATGAGTTGGTGTCTGTGAGCACTCACTTAGCAGGTGAAGGTCCCAATCCAGGAACATACAAAGGCTGCAGCTCCTACGCATCTTACTGATGGAGGGGGAGTGCATACTCCTGACAGGGATCTCAGGTTTCCCCTCTGGACCAGACCCTGCAAGAACCCAGCAACCTGAACTGGAAATTGGGGAATGCGGGTAACTACTGTAGGGACAGTGTTTCCTCGGAGTGATGCCTCACATCTGTCTTGCTAGGTTGGCTCTTAGGGTTATTATTTATTATTTATTATTGTTCATTAAGCGCTGACAGAGTTGGGGCTTTTGTTTGTTTTGTTTGGGTCTCCATTTAGAGGCCTTTGCTGAGGCAGACTCCGGTGCCAAGACCTCCGGCGCTTTTACAATTACAGCCCGTGATCCTATTGTATTGTTTATGTAATGACTCTCAGTCCTGAGGGATTCTGCAGCCTTTCTTAGACCAGAGCACCCAGCACCTGGCAGGGAGAGTGCAGAGCAAGTGCTGGCCCCTGGTGCCAAGGAAAATCTCTGGGTTTTACATCCCAGGGGATCATTAATACATGGACAGGTCAGGCTGGACCTGCTGCAAGGATCTACATGGGGGGAAGTTGATTAAGCTGCTTCAGAAGGAGCAGATGATTCGTCTCTGCCTGGTCTGTGTGGTCATGGGGAGGTCTCATGGTGGCTCAGACCTGATGCTCTGGCTGTTGGGTGTCTGCAGCCCACCGGTCTGTCTCAATACAGTGACTGGTCTTTGCGGGCCTGATGGTGTGACCAGTCCCTGAGTGTCCCAGAGCACCCCAAACCACCTCAGAACGGGCACTGAGACTTTCACCCTGTTAAGTAGATGTGTGGAGGGCTCCTCCCCAGCTCTGCAACCTGCAGGACATGGGTGGGACCAGCCATGGCCAGCGAGGGGGCTGTACTGAGGTGGGTGATGAGCTCATCACCGTGATTCCCGGGTTTAATTCCAGCTTTGCCACTGATTTGCTTTGTATCTGTAGCCCTGTGAGTGCACAGCTTTGTGCCAGTGCTTCCTCATCAGTATAATGGGTATAATTAGGCTTCCCTGATTGAAGATGGCGCCGAACACTGAGTGTGCTGGCAGATTGTTTTCTTTTGTTTAAAAGTATTTTCCAAAAAAAAGAGATAAGACCCAATTTTAGAGTGCTGGTTCCCATATACTATTTCAAACATTTGTGGGTTAAACTCTGACAATATCAAACCCTTTCCTTCTGGGACAGATCAGCTCTGAAGAGTTGGCTTGCCCTAAACCTAGCAGAACAGAGTTAGGTGAAGACTAAGTGCGTCTAAGTGTATTCAGCAAGATACAGGATGTGGCACTGCTGATCTTCTGTGTTAATTACAAATACAACAGAATGTAACATCAAGAATAGTCTAAATAATTTCATGGCCTGTTAACCAAGAGAGTTTGAGTTCTGGGACGTGGACCAGGCTACCACTGATAATGGTATCTGAAGTCAGTGGTGTCTGGAAGAAGGTTCATACTGTGCTGGCTGCTCCGATTTCCTTCTGTAGATTGCAAGACCAGATGATTAACAGTGCATTAGATAATTTTCTAACATAACATTCCCTACAGGCAGTTACTGGCATTGCTGTAGAGACATCCTGAACGACGTGTTGGAAAAGGAAGTGCACAGGACAGTCTTTCTGCATTGTGAACATGTGTGAGACCCCCATGCAAAGCTGTGCTCTGTTTTGACTCCAAGTCTCCTCAGACATGGCCGAGGAAAATGCACGTGAGTGCTGACCTGGGGGCACCTTCTGTTGTTCTATTTGCACCTGCTTGTACCTGTTCAACACCTCTCCCCTCTCAAGCACTGCCGCTCTCGCTGCAAATGAGTCTGGAGACCCTGACTCCAGCACAGCCAGGAGCTGGGAAACATCCCATAGTTGGGTGGATGGGATGAAAAGTTCAGATTTGGGTGGCGTGTCTTTTTCTCTCAGCTTGGTGTGAGTGGCAGTGGAAAGGCATAAGCTCCCTTCTCCTGTCACTGATGTGTCAGCTCTAAAATCATTCTTCTGAGCTGAGCAGTGACATGAGTGTGGGAGCCTCAGAGAGGGATCGAGCCCAGAGGGTCGGGAAGGGGAGAGCTGAGGCACTGGGCTGAGTGTCTGAGGTACTGGACACGTTGATTTTGCTTGCTTGTGCTCAGGACTGGAGATGAGCTGTCCATCCTCAGTCTGTGGGGCAAGAGAGTCCTTCAGGAAGCAGACTGGCAGCTCAGCTCACATCAGCTCAGAGAAGCCTTGGGAATGTGCAGGGAGACCTCAGAAGTGAGTCAGGCAGACAGACACCTGTACCTGCCTTTCCTGGGGAGGCCTTTCAGTCTGTGAGCTCTCACACAGCATCTTGCTCCAGTGCTGAATCCTGGCTGCTGTCCCTGTGCATCCAGCTGGCTTGGGGCAGGAAAGGGGAGAAAAAGCCAGAGCCAGTGGCTCAGCTGATTGGGGGTTTCAGGCAGAGGTTGCCCTGCCTGACTTGCAATGGATTCAGGGGCTTTCTGTAGAAACTGTCTCCAGGGCAAGTCTGAACCAGCCAGTTCCACTTAATTTTCCATGGAGGCAGAAAAGCCACCAAGAAAATAAAAATGTTGCAAGACAAGGTTTGGGGATAAAAGGACATAGTGTAGCTGGCCAAACAAGGCAGTGGGTGATGACATATCTGCCATCCCATTTACCTCCCTGGCAGTGGGACCCAGGGACCTCATGAGAATTCAGGAAGGCTTTTGTGAAGATATCCTGAGCAGGGAAGGGGAGTGTTGAGTGGGGCAAGGCAGTGAGGGGGGCATGGAGAGCCCACTTAAAACAAAGGTGTAAAGGAAAAGGGCATCCGTGTGTCTTCAACTCAGCCTTTCCCCCCTTTTCTTCATCTCATGTCCTCCCTGGAGCTCCATGCAAGTTTATAAATTTATACCTGAATGCAGTAAAATCACCAGGGTTGACAGGGTCTTGGTTTCATTAATTCTGAACCCTGACATGCCAGCCCTCCACCCTGGCAGGGCTGTCATGGCTAGTGCAGGCTTCCTCATGGCTTATTAAACCAGCACCTTGGAAGCCTGGCCTGAATTCATGGAATCATGGAATCGGTTAGGTTGGAAAAGACCTTTAAGGTCATTAAATCCAACCATTAACCTGGCACTGCCAAGCCCACCCTGAAGTGGGGGTTAACCTCCAGGAGGTTTGAGGAGGCACCCAGTGTCCTCACTTGGGTGACCTGTACTGGTGTGATCCTGGGACTTCTGGGGACATCTCCTGAGGTTTTCTCCTCCTGCAGCCCAGGAGGGAAGGGAGGCTGTGGGCTGGCTGGGAGCAGCTGGTGCTGGACGGTCTCCTCTGGGCAGTGGGGCAGCCCCAGCCCGGGTGGGAGCCACTGCTCCCAGACAGACCAGGGTGCAAAGCCCTAGGCTTGGGAGAGGGCTTTGTGGGAGAGGCTGAAGGCAGCACTCCCTGAGTTCCCTCTGCACAGGAGATACACCCTCACGGAGCTGTCTTTTTATTTGCAAACTGAGCAGTTGTACTGGAAGAGATTTAGCAAACATGGGACTGCACAATGCTGTGTGTACTGAGTCACACATCAGGGCTAGAGCCAACTAGCACTGTGAGCTACTGAGGCAAACATTGGAGAATAGTTACAATAGGCACCAAAAATATCTTCAAATGAGATCTTTCTGCATTGCTGCATGTTGGGTAACAGGGAGGGCTGACAGCCCAAGCTTAAACTCTACCCACATGCTCTAGAGCTCATCCTGGGCAAGGCAGGCAACTGGGATGGGAACAAAGCAGAGGAAAAGCAGGTTTGCTCCTGTAAAGGGAGCCTTGATTAGCCAACCTCACATAGGTTGGGAAAGTCCTGGCTCTGGCAAAGCTCTAGGGATTGACCCTGTGGTCCTGGCTCTGGCTGCATTTCAGGAGGGAGTGACTCCAGAACTAGTAACATACTGCTGGATCTGCAGCTCACACCTGCACAGGCACAAGGCAGGATTGGTCCTTATGAGATGTCTTCTGTTTGATTTTAAGGCTCCCAAGTAAGGGAGCTGCTCTTGGGGTCTCTTTGGAAGGTCTGCCTCTTGCAAGATTTTCTCATGGGTTTGCTCTGTGGTTGCTCTTTCCTCTCTACCAGTCTTGCAAAGTAAAGGAGCCACTGCCCCAAAGCAGAGACACAATTCCCCAAACTCAGATTCTGGGGGTTTGTCCAGGCCATCTCAGCAGAATGGGAGAAGACACTGAGTGCAGGGCAGGTAGTGAGCACCAAATCCGACTCAGCCTCCTGCCAGGTGACCCTTCAGCATCCTTCCCCCAGACCCCAAACCCTTCCCTCAGATCCTGCTGCTCTCCACACCCTCGTGCTGGGCTGGGATCACACCTCAGCCTCTCCACATCCCCTTCCTGCCTTCCTGCTCACCATCTCTCCCACTGGTTTTGCAGCCGTTTTTTTCTGCCAGCGCAGGGCACTGAAAAGTGCTGGCACTGCCAAAAACCCTGTGTGCACTACGACTCCCCAAACATCCCTTTATTTTTATTGTTCTGTTAATTACTGTTTAAACTTTAATAAGTCACTTCGTCAGGAGGGGGGACCTGCAGTGAGGTTTCTGTGCAAACACTGGGCCCGGCAGTGACTCTAGTGTAACATAACCCTTTATACAATGTGGGAATGTTTAGACTGTAACAGAAACTTGTTATTTTAATGACAGTTAAAGGGGGGAAAAGAAAGAAAGGAGCGAATGAAAAAGGGAAGCAAGTTTGTTGGGGAAATGGCTCATCTCAATCTCTCTGTCTGGCCTCTTTTCTCTGGGCTTTAATGATAGCTGGATAAGGAGGCTTTATGGCTTCTGTTGAGGCAAGTCTTGTTCCCAGAGATGCCCTATACGAGGCAGTGTGTGATCCCCTCAGTTGTGCGGGGTGAGGCCCACAGCAGAGAGATGCTGATGGAAGCAGCATGGCTTGATTTTGCTCAGAGGCAGCAGCAGATGCCTAAAGCCAATTTGAGCTCAGTCTAATTATTCTGACCCACACAAGAGACTTTCCCCTTCTATCCAGAGCTTCTTCCCCTGGTTAAGTTTTTAAGTAGCTGCGCTGAAACAGATGCTGGCATGTCATAGATAAGAGGGTCCAACATCCCATGGAAAAATGGACCCTGAAGCAAGAAAATGATGCCTTATTTTGAGTCCTGAAAAGGAGGAACTATGGAGACCTGAGGGAGATGAAGGGAAAGAACCTGGCTCACACTCTTGGCAGTGGGAGAACAGAGGGTTTACAGGCATCCTTGGCTTTGGACTGTGACTGTTGACATCTGTATTGCTCTGAGGTAGTGGAGGTGCCTGTGCAGTGGCTGCTGTCCCTGCATCACAGCACTGAAGTCACCTCCAGGTTTGGCTTGGCTATATTTAGCACTCGCTATAGACAAGACCATATAGAGTGATATATATGATCTGAAAACCTTCAACTCCTGCTGACCTCTGCTGCTGCAGTGAAATCCCCCAAATCTGTGCAGTCTGCGCGGGGAGTGACGCAAGACCAGGAGAGGGGAGAGCTCCCGTGTTTTCCCGGGCAGGTTCCATGTTCCCCCTCCCCAGGTTGGTCACCAGTCCCTGGCAGTGCTGGTCCCCTGGGCAGCCCAGCTTTTTCTGCCAGACCTGGCTGTCAGGCCCACAGGGAATGAGGGGAGAGAGGTGTAAAGAGGGTGTGGGCTCGGGCACCAGAGCTTTGGGGAGGAGGAAGTGGTGTTGGGAACTTGAGGAAAGAAGAGGGAAGGGGAAGATCAACCTAAGGCTGAGGCTGGCAACTGGGAAGTGAAGGGGGCACAAAGGGCAAAATTTTGGAGGGAAGGGGAGGTTAGGAGGGTGTGGGGTGTAAGGAGCACTTTACTGGAAAAAAAGTGCCTGCTTCCTCAGGCATCAGCTCTGAGTCCAGTTCCTCTGTGCAGGGACCCTCTCCCCTCTTTGCTGAGTTCATGACCAGAACAGGAGACTGCGGACTTACACTCCAGGCTTTTTGGTGAGGGCAAATGTAGGGTGGAGAGGGAGGGGATGAAATCCTGGGCCTCTGGGAGTGTGTTTTCCCAAGTGGGTGAGCATGCAGGGAGCAGGCCAAAAGGGTTCACGCTTTCCTCGCCCGCTGCCGGGGTTGTGATTGTTATTGATTGGGTTTGCTGTTCTCGGCACTTTGTGTTTTTCCAGCTGAGCATTGGCTGCCCCTTGAATTTCATTTTATTTTTTATTTTTTTTTTTACCTCTGGTTTAGTTCCTATACCCTCAACCGTGGCAGATGGGGCAGGTGTGTGCCCAGCCCCTGTGCCAGCCAGCACTGTGGGGCTGGGCTGGGTCTGCACCGGGGCTGGGAGAGTGCAAGGTGTAAGGTAAGGTACCAGTGTAAGGTACCAGTAATGGGCAAACCTGCTGTCAGTAGGATTAAATTCATAAGTCTGTGTTATCTCTGAGTGTGTGTCGTACAAAAAGGTAAAGAAATCTGCTCTTGTAGAAAAAGCAGTCTCAGGGCTTGATGTTGGAGCAAATAATAGGAACATGCACAGGGATTTCCACGCTTGGGCATGGGTAATGCATAGCTGACTTGAGGTGCATAAGCTTCAACCCCAAAGCCAAGGGCCAAGGGAATTCCTAGCTGGAGAAATAGTTTTCATTTCCAACATCTGGTCACATCTTTCAGACCCCACCAAGCCCCTCATGCTGGGCTGCTCTCCCTCCAGCCGTGCGCTCGTGTCCGTCCTCCGCAGAGCTGT